CAAAAGGTAGATATATATCAAAATCAAAAGGTTTGTTTAGAAGTTTTCGGTGCCTGATGAGTGATGTCATCACATAGAAAAACGAACGGGACAGGATTTGGTAGGCACAATATAAGTAAGCATATTAAATGAGTACTTGATAAGTATTTTGACAATTGTCAAAAATGGATTTTAATCTTTTTTTTTAAGGGTGAAGTGAGGGTATTTTAAGGGATAGGTGTTAAAAAATTTTTAAGTGCTCATTGAACGTACTTACAACGTTGTGCCTACCAGATCCAAACTGACCAAAAACATTGTTATGTAACTAAGCACAAATTGACAATTTCATGTTTTCTCAAAGAAAAAGAAAAGGTCGTGTGTAAATGAATAGGAGTGCAAATGGGCTATGCGTAAATCCTGATTTACTTTGCTTTATATTTGACTTTGTTTCGCTTGTTTGTATAAATGGCAAAATAACAATTTATCGTAAAGAGAATGGAGGCATGAGGAATGTTATTTGTTTGGGAAGAATAAGCTAGGAAGCAAATTGATGTTGTCTCCACTTATATAAGATTTGAGGAATATGCAAATTTTGCAACAGTTTTTTAGATGCAAAATTTGCACTACTGATGTATACAAATGAGATTAAAAAAGTACAAGTTTTGCATGATGTAAGAATGCAAATCATATTTGATTCTGCTTTGCATTGCAAACAAACGGAGACTGAACCATAAACAATTTATCAACGAATCCAAAATGCCATTTCCACTTTTTAAGACACCTTGAAAACAGAAAGAACCACTGTCCTAGACATAGCATTGCATGGCCACAGTCTCACAGACACAATAATAAGAATCCAAGGCATGTAGTCGGTAGTCCACTATCAAAATAGTCTGCATTTTTTTGAATTATTAATAAAAAAAATATAAAATTCTATGTTTAATTTGTTACTTAATAATGGTTTGTAGAAAAAAAGAAAAACATTGTGGTTAAGTGGCCATCAAGTGATGGGAATCCGATGCATGTTTGACAATTGACATGGACAATTCATCTACTTAAAAAGACTCCATGCAAAACTGGCTAATTAAAACACTCCTTGAATAGTCTATTTATAACTTTTTAATTTGAACAGATCAATGGATGATGATGGATCAATATTTGTGCATCTGGGCGGGAATTCATTTCAAAATTAGTATTGATGACTGACTGATCAATTGTCATTCCTTGGGGCGGATGGCAGAAGCTTTTGATCATTTGTGTTGCGTTGCATCATGTGTCCCTTTTAGGAGAAAAGAAACCAGCTAGAACTTGATACGGTGGGAGGTCGGTCGATCTTGTTGTTGTAGGGGAATGCAGTGGGTCTTGATAGGGTGAGATGTTTCTCTGTAGGCTCTATTTATTTCAATGTAAGATGACTGAATGGAGAAGTTATTTTCTTATATTGAAGTATTAAACTATATCTTTGTGAAAGCAAAAAAGTAGTTGTGGAAGATATGGGTATAATGAAGAGTTCAGGTCTCCTGCACTCGCTTTGGTGTATGCAAGGGTGCACTTCTAATCACATTACTGCACGTAAGCATTGTATGGTATCCTTCTTCTCATGTGCGAGAGACTATGAAATGGTGAATTTGGCCCGTTATTCTTTATATTTTATATTTCAATTTTAAAAATAATAATAAAAAAAAAGTAAAGAAAAGAAAGTTTGACTGCTCTATTTGAGAGACTGGAGATAGCGGAATGCAAACCAAACTCATTAATTAGCCCTTTCTTCTTCTTCAGTTAAGGGCAGAAATCATTGACAAAAAAAAATTTCTTGGATGGAAGCCATTTGCAAGAGATCATTCCATTTTCTCACTATTTCACATTTTTTGCCTTCTTATTGTATACCCTTCCTCAGGTTTGACTGTTTGAAAAGTGTCAGTTTGTAATCAAGTTCTCTTAATTATCAAAACCCTAAATCAAATTCCTAAATATGTATCTCTTGATCTCTGTTTTTTTCCTCATGAGGCTCATCTAATTTGTTTTGGTTTTCCTTTTCCCCTCAAATATTATTAGTTCAAGAACATTTAACCTTTTCGTCCTGCCATGACCCGCCCCTCCTATTTTTTTGCTTCATGGTGGCAGCGGGATTTGATCCCAGGTCTCTACTCCACTCCGACAAATCAAAGAACCTACCAACTAAGTTACCATCAGTTGGCACCCACCCCTCCTATTACCTTTCCCTTCTTTTCCCTACTTTTCCTTCAAACCAAACACAGCCTTAGGGTAATAACATCATTCAAACTTCAGTATCTCTTTGCTAAGTCTGACAAATTGCGGTAAGAGCTGGGTTGGAAAAAGTGGTGACAGGTGAGAATTTAAAGGAAAACATACTCTACTCTACCATATACCCAGCCATCTTTGGTGCTATTTCCGTGGACATGGGTAAGGCTGATGTTGCGGACTTGCGGGTAGTATGTTTCCAGGACGTTGCACATGTTGTCAGAAATATTGCTCTTTAACTCCAAATAATAAATTTTTGTTCTTCTATTAATGGAAGATTTGGGCTATGTTTGGTTTGAAGGAAAAGATAAGGAAAAAAAGAAAAATATATAAAAATATATATAAGAATATAAGATTTGTAAAGATTTCCTTAAGTTTCTCTTTCTTTCCCTATTTTTTCCTTCAATCCAAACACAGTATTAATTCTTATGTGTATCCGTCCTATCCTGCGTAACTCTTTGTTGGAATGTTACTTGAAAGTTTATGTTTAAGTGCTGACTGCTGATTAATGTTTAACATTCACTATTAAAATTTTCTTCGTTTCTTGTGTTGTGGATTTATAGTGTCAGAGGGCTGTCCTCACCACCAGAATATTGGTTTTGGGGAAGGTGAGTCTTTGTAAAAGGATGCTAGTTATGCATCTATCAGTTGCAAATCATCTTGTCTGGGTGAAGAAAAAATCTTTTTATTAATGGCATCCGCCCCCGGATGAAGAAGAAAGGGCGGATTTGATCTGCAATCCTTTTTCGTATTTTGTTTACCCTCTCCTATCTATGTTGGATGCTGATGTGCAGCACTGTCATTTGAAGTGCACCCTGGCCTGCACCAAAGCGAGTGCAGGAAATCCGACCGCTCCTAGTAACTGGGATATGAAAAAAAAAGATGGTTGTTGGATCCCAACGGCTTCAGTCAGAGCAAGGCCCGTTCGAATAGCCTTTACAATCCTTCATTGAGAATATCTCCATACTTTTGTGTTTTATTTCATGGGGAGATATTCCCAATGCAAGGCTATGATGGCTGTTCGAATGGACTTTGTTCTGACTGAATCCGATCACCTATTCATGCCCATGTCTTTTTGTTTTTAACCAAAATAAATTAGAAGACAATTACTAATTTACCCACTCTCATGATAATATGGCATTTTCAGAAACTCTCTTAGTTTTTGTCAGATATTAATGCCAACGGAAGTGGAGTAACCGTTGCTCTTTTGTGATGTTTAACTAGGGAAAATCTATGACGCGGAAATGAGTTTTGACCAATCAAAACTCATCCGTGAATTTCAGTTAAATATCCGAATTCGACCGATTATTTAATTCTTATATATAATATATAAAATGTTTATATAATTTATATATAATAATTAAGTTATATAAGTAATTATTTATTTATATACTTTATATCAATAAAATATTTATTTTATATATTTATTAATTATCTAAAATAATTAATTAATCAAATTTGAATCGAATCAAATATTCGAATATTTAATCAGATTCGAATTCAGATATTAATTTTCAATATCCATTGGATATCGAATCGAATTCGGGTATCGAATTTTCTAATCAGATTTGAATTCGAATATTGTTTGATCCAATTTAAATTCAATCCGTTTACACCCCTACTCCCGTGCATAATAAAACCAGATTCAGTCAGTGCAAAGCCCGTTTGAACACTCATTATATCCTTGCATTAGGAATATCTCCCCATGAAATAAAACACAGAAGTGCGAAAATATTTCCAATGCAAGGTTGTTCGAATAAGACTTGCAAGACTGAAGCCGATCTCGTACAGGACAGTCCAAGACAACACACCACTATTTTTTTTAGGAATAAATAGATTACAATCCAGCTCAGAAATATGAAATTACAGCGCCCTTCTAATTTACTAATAGCCCCTTATAAACCGCATTGAGGTGTACTGAACAATAAAAACCCTTTTTTTTTTTACCAGTTGAAAATAGAGAAGGTAATAATTAGAGAGAAAGAGAGTGCAATTCCATCCAAAAGCCAAACATCAATTTATTGTCACGTTAATCAAACGGTGGCCTCAAAATTGAAAAAGGGACATCGAACATGTTGGTTGACTTGAAAAGTACATCAAATTGTCGGTCATGCTCTGTACATATAAATATAACCCTCGAACTAAGCCTCTGCTTTTGAGCTTTTGGCCAATTTTGAAAAATTTTCAGATTTGAGAGAAAGACTTGAAGTAGGGGTGTAAAACTACAAGTAAAATCAACCAAAAAAATCGCTATGAGATTCGAGCTTTCCTCTCTCTTTTTTTCACAGATGATTCGAGCTTTTCTCCACCTCCCCAATGTCCCCATAATCGTCAAATGGGCATTTAATACTCATGGGCCGATGGGCCCCCAAGCAGAAGTGAAATGGGCGTTTAATACTCATGGGAGCTTTTCTCCACCTCCCCATAATCACTTGTACAACACAACACTTCCAACTCCCTGTTCTCTACTCTAACACTCCCTTTTATTTTTATTTTTTTTAATTTTTGTTTTATCCTTTCCTTTTTCTTCCCCTTCTTAAACAGAAAGAAAAAAGATATCAGACGGCTAGGATTCAATATAGCGAGTTGATTGAGGTTGAGGTTCCACAATGCCAACTCGTATGTTAGGATTAAGAAGGCGGCAACCTAACCATGGTTAATTGACTAACTGGGGTAGGGGGTATGGTCTCAAATTTCAACCTTCTCAACTCTCGAACCTCCTTTTAATTAATATGATATGTTTATATACCAACAAAGAAAGTGAGTTCTGGTTTGGCTTGGTTTCTCTCTCTCTCCTCCTTGTTCTGCGCTAGGCTAGGCTACACTTGATTTCCTCAATTCCCTCGCATTTGCCGCTGGCCGAAATTCGCAGAGGAACTCATGTTTCAGGTCGAAATCCGGTCATCCCTCACTGGAAAAAGTGGAGCAGATGGAAATCAATACGCTGAAAAGAGAGCCCCAGAGCAGGTAATCGTCGCCGTTAGAGCTGAGAAGGATATCTCCAAGACTGCATTGGCCTGGGCACTGTCCCACGTTGTTCGTCCCGGAGACTGCATCACTTTGCTAGCTATCCTTTCATCCGAGAAAAGCAAGGGTAAGCAATTCACTGTTTAGTTTCTTTGATCATCGTACTGGTTTAATCTCTCTCAGCTCAAACATAGTCATCCACAGACGCAATTCCTCCCTCTGTCTCTCTGGAATGTGATATAAAATTTGTTAATTACGAGAGCACTCTGTTAATGCAGGTCGGAAATTATGGAGTTTTCCGATATTCACCGGAGATTGTGGGAGCCGTCACCGGGAGAGGTCTCCCGACTGGAGATGTCAGATCTCGGAATCCTGTTCGAAGATGGTGCTCCAGTTTCACGACCAAAACCAGGTAACGACTTAACATCGGTTAAAATTACTAAACTGCCACGTTCCGCTCCGGCATCATTTTTTTTTTTTTAATTTGACATCTTTAACCTTTTTGACCAAAATTATTATAGCCATTATATGACAAAATTTGACATCAAAACAATGATTGTCCGTGGAGACTAACGACGCTTGAATACTTGATAATTGAAGTGTCAGAATCTGTCAGATCGATATCCGACGCCGGGATCTGACGGGCAATGAGTTTGACACCACAGAAGCCAGAGGGCAATTTAATTTGGCTTCGGGACCATGTAGATGTAGCCTAGGTCATTAGAAAACGCGGAAACCTCTCTAATAGCATTGCTTACATGCTTAGACATAAATTGAGCGAGTGGGAGTGGGACTGAGTTAGTGGGTGTAACGTCTTCGAGACACCGACTAACGAACACTTAGGCCCATCCATTAACTGTCCATGAAAGAAGTAGGCCCAATTAGCATCCTCTGGTGGGTACCCGCCCATTCAGATTTGAGACAACCCTAGTTGTCACTTCTGTTATTGAAGTCATTTGGCAAGCAGCAAGCTGCAAATTTAGGCTGCTTTAAAAGTCATCTAAAATAGAGTGTAAAATAGTTCATATAAATTGTAAAATTGGGTTAATTTTGTACTGATAAATTTTTCTTTTTATTAAATAGATTTTTAGATGTAATGGATGCAAACATGAATTCTAATGAAGCATATACTTATTTTTTTAATCAAAAGTCCACTTGAATACAAATTTACTTCTTTTTTATTGATGTATTTTTACATCTTATTATCAATGTAAATATGCATTAATCTGTCATTTGTCAATACATAAATGTAATACTATCAAATACAAGCAAAAATGAACCAGAATACAAATTTACCCTGAACCAAGATTTACACTCCATTAGTATCTTTTTCAAATGCAGCCTTAATAATGAAAACAGCATCTTGTTGCATAATAACAGTAAAATTCCCAAATCTCTCTCTCTCTCGTTTTTTTGAGTATTGGATGTAAATGGTGATAATGTCAGCAGGTTGGTGTGAAGATTAAGGTGGTGTCAGGTTCATCTGGTGGCGTGGTGGCTGCAGAATCAAAGAAAGCTGGAGCCAACTGGGTTATTTTGGACAAGTAAGGATCAACCAGTGATCACATAAGATAGACTTCAATTTGGATTTTATTTAATTAGTTTTCTATTAGTTCTCATTTTCTGATTAACGTTGTTTAATTCATAACTGTGATTGGTTGAAAAGGGGTTAAAAACATATAACCAACCAATCCTCTCTGGTGCTTCCTACCAAATCTAAAACGTTGACCTGAGCACATGGATGGTATTTGAATAATCAAAATTTCTATTAAACGATGTTCTGTGGGTTTGATCCCGCACCTCTCTCTCCCTGTTTGGAGGGGCCCAAGTGAGAGAAAGGATTATCTGAATTTGATAGTCCTTTTATTTACTTCACACCAACCATAAATGTAAGTGAGAGATTGATTGACTGTGAGCCACGTTCTCCCTGTTTGGAGGGGCCCAATCCACCGTAAAAGCGGCTGAAAGAAAATTAAAATATTATATATTATGACAAGTAATTAGGGTTGCAAATGTATCCGAGGATCCTATTTGATCGAATTCGGATCATTCCTGATTGGGTTATTGGATTGGATTCGGATCCCCCTCTCTAATCCAAAAAGACCCGATCCGATGTGTTATATATTAATAAATATAAATATATATGTTATTTATTTATTTATAAATTTATTATATTATTTTCTTTAATATATATATATGAAGAAAATAATTAAAAAATAATTGTATTTTTTATTCTTATTTTATTTTTATTTTAATAATTTATTAATTTTAAAGAAAATAAATCGGATCAGATCAGATCCGAAGATCCGAAAATCCAACTTACTGATAGGATTCAAATCTTATCGAATCTTTTGATCGAATTCGAATCTAATCCGATCCGTTCCCCAAACTTTTATTTGCAACATATAGAACCACTCTTAATTTCGTTCATGGTGTTGATGGTAAATGTAAAATTACTAAAATATCCATTCAAAGTTTGATAGGTGGGAGAAGAAAATATTAAAATAACAGAAATAGCCATATTAAACTAAAGCATGTTATGATCCGTTGTATGTTTAGTCTTTTTTTTGCAATATTTAGTGTTTTTTTTGTATTTTCTTGTTTTTTTTCCATATTTTGATCTATAATTCTGTTGTGTTTTCTCTCTTTGCCTTCATTTTTTTGTTGTATTTACTTATATTTATCTGGAATTTCCTATTTTTCTTTTATTTTCTATTCTTTATTATATGATTTATCCATAAATATTTACATGAGATATTCCAATGAGGTTTAACCTTGCCATTTTTTAGGGGAAAAAATAATTTGTTTTCCGCCCATTCTACATAGAAACTATGTAGGAGCTTCACTGCAACTATATCTCATTATCTCATTGGATTGCGCTATGTTGCCGCAGACAACTGAAACAGGAAGAGAAACATTGCATGGAGGAGCTTCACTGCAACGTCGTGGTAATGAAACGTTCCCAACCTAAAGTCCTTAGGCTCAAATTGGAAAGCTCGAATGAAGTCCAACCTCCTTTCCCTTCCTACCCAACGCCAGAATCTGACGATGAGAAGTCTCTAGATAACAGGCTAAAGCATTCAACTCCTGTCAGCAGTCCTGAAGATCAAAAGACTTCCTTCACAAGAACCTCCACCACCACCACCACCGGAGCAACTTCTGTATCGAGTTCTTATACGGCCACTTCTCCTTTCTTGGTCTGTGAGCAAAACCCACTCTTTGAGGGAGTCAACAAGAGGAAGCTTCGACCTCTGAGAGAGAGAGTATACTCGGACGACCCATTTACCGTGTTTGAGTCGGACGGCCAAGATCCCGTTACTCTCTCTACTAATTCATCAGCGTCATCACTGGCTCGTAACCAGAAGACTGTCTATTGGATTCCTGAAAACCACGCTGTTGATAGAGAGAGCTCAATTATCAGAAACTACAAGAATACCCACAACACCACCAAATCCCAGCCTTCTCGTACTCTGCTTGAAAAGTTTGCCCAATTTGATAGGGAGACAAGGTTCAAACAACTCGAGCTTAGCCAAAGCTACGAAAGAGATTATATTGTCAACTCCGACCTAAGAGATGCAGTGTCCTTGGGCAGAACAACTTCAACACCTCCTCCTCTATGTTCAATATGTCAGCACAAGGGACCTATTTTCGGGAGACCGCCTGTGTGGTTCGACTACAGAGAGCTTGAAGAAGCTACAGATGGGTTTTCAGACATGAATTTCTTGTCAGAAGGTAGGTTCAGTTCGGTCCACAGAGGGGTGTTGAGAGACGGCCAAATGGTCGCGGTGAAGCAGCTGAAAGTGTCTGGGTTGCAAGGAGATGCCGACTTCTGTCGGGAGGTGGAGGTATTGAGTTGTGCACAGCATAGGAACGTTGTGATGTTGATTGGGTTCTGCGTTGAGAAAGGGAGGAGGATTTTGGTGTACGAGTACGTGTGCAACGGCTCTCTGGACTTCCACTTACACGGTAAAGATCGTCTTTCCTGATTTCTCTCACTTCGGTGGTCTGGTCGGGTACTGGTAGGTAGGTCTGGCATCATCACGTACGTGGTGCCAGCAGCATTCCGATTTCTCAACTTCTAAATGCGTAAATTAAATTCATGCAGAAAATGAGAGCACCAGTTTAGACTGGCACTCGCGACTCAAGATAGCTATCGGAGCGGCGAGGGGGTTGCGCTACCTTCACGAAGACTGCAGGGTGGGGTGCATCGTTCACAGAGACATGCGCCCTAGTAACATCCTCCTAACCCATGACTTCGAGCCGCTGGTATTTTGACTAATTTCATTCTTTCTCCCCTTTCTTTTCTCATGCATCTTTTGGGTGTTTGGTTGCATGAAAAATCTATTCAGATTTAATTAGAGATATTTGATCCTTATTTTAACCGCAATCCGCAAACTTCACCTAGTGCTGCAAATGGATCAGACCGGATGGAATATATTATATATGGGGGATCCGATTCTGATTCGTTTATATTTTGGATTCGTACCTAATTCTTATCGGATTTGGATCAAATTAAGACTGTTTTTTTATCTATCAGAAAAAGGTGTTAATTCAGACACTAGGATAGTAGGACATAATTATAAGTTTATAACAGGAAGCAGTGCTTTTGCGATTGGAAACTTGTACATTCTATTGTTTGACCGTTTTGATTTATTAGGTTGGAGATTTTGGGCTGGCCAGGTGGCAACCGTCATGGGATATTGGTACTGACACATGCGTCATTGGAACTCTAGGGTATATAATTCTTGTTACTTTAATCCTGAAGTAGTCCCGTCTCTGCAAGACTGCAACACTAGTCCCAGGAGAAATGTTGCATTTTTTTAACATGCTCTGCAATCACTGTTACTCTGTTATGGAAACCCTAATAAACTGTTAGGGATTATCCTAAGAAATAGTATACATTTGCAGCAGCAGCAGCAGTATGTACGTTTTTTTATTCTTTTTTGGTAACAGTGACAATGGTACTAATATGAGAAACGTCATCTCCAGGTATCTTGCACCAGAATACACGGATGGTGCAAAAATTACAGAGAAAGCTGATGTATACGCATTCGGTATGGTATTACTGGAGCTCATTACAGGACGAAGAACAATTGACTTGGCTCGTCACAATGCACATAAATTGCTACCAGAATTGTCCCTCTCCATGTTGGCACTAGAACAAAGCCATGCCTTGACGATTAATCATCAATTTTTGGATCCACGCTTGGACCATGACCAACTCCATAATTATACGCACCAGCTCCAGGCAATGGCTCAGGCTGCTTCCTTGTGTCTTTGCCGAGACCCAGAATCCAGACCCCCCATGTCAAAGGTACACTTTCCATTATTTCTCTCAAAGAATGTTTAATTTCATTCCTCTTCTATATAAATATAATGCCTTCTTTGTGGGTGTCTTAATCCAATAACATGACCCATTTTGCCTGTTGATTGATTAGATCCTTAGAATTCTAGAGGGAGATGCAATCATCCCGCTGGGTTCCGAGCTTGACATGGTCGGTAGTAGAAGTGCGCGTATGCATGGTCCAATCTCACACCCACTAACCGAATCATGGAGAGGTCATTCCCGTACTCTTTCCCATTAAGAAATGCGCTTAATGTTGAGAGAAAAGTGGGCATACTGAATCCAATTGAAGCTGGCTGTACATACAGCACTTTATTCTTTTTGAGTTATCAGTGCCAAATTTCATACTTCAAGAGATACATACTAAACGAGTTGGAATTGAGGGGGCTCGAGGAGCTCGAGGAGCTGATACTGAGGCCTTGAAGAGTAGCCGGGGCACAGATCGGCTTCCTTTTCTAAATGTACTATATACATATTCTTTTTTAAACTTCCTAAACAGTACTCGTGCTGAAACATGTAAAGTGGTAAATGATATAGGAACATGGAGACGACCAAAATAATAAACAGTAATAGTAATAATGAAAAGTACTATACTACTATTCATGAAAACATGAGCCGGTTGAGCACTGCACAGAATTCCTCCCATACATGGTGGAAAACAAAAAATTGGATGTTGGACAGTTTGTGGTGTCCACAGTGCTCTCCCCGCGTTAAACATTAATTGTCAACAAATATTTTTATTGGTATCGCATCATGAACTCATGATCAAAACGGTTCTCTGTATTCAAAACCGGATGACTGTGTATTCAATGCATCGAATCTGAATCATCAAAACATGTAGCAGCTTGTAAAATGCTACAAGAGAATCATCTAACAAATGTGATGGTTAAGCGAGTTTCTAAAGTAATTTTATGGCATAGGAGATTAGATATCCCACTCCCAGGTAGAAAGTGCTAAACCGTCTATAGAGTGGAGATTAGAGACTAGAGCTAAGGATGGATGAGATCACACTGCTTCACCCAACATCCTAAATTCCGTTGGTTACAATTGCTCACGTAATTCAACTTTAAATAAAATAAATATATATACACTCGTATATGATGAAAGGACCCATTTACAAGCCAATTCCATATTAGACTTTAGACATCAGGAAGAGAAGGAACTCGCCTCGGTGCTGTAATACGACAGCTCGTTTATACTTAGGTTTTCTCTCCCTTCATCCCACTTCAGAATCTCCCTTGCATATCTGAGAGATCCATCAACAGTACCAGACTCCAAACCCTTTACAAGAGAAACATACAACTTTCGTCCAGTGAGAGAGGCAAAGAGTCTCTTGAACTTCACTGCTATGTAGTAAAAGGCCAGCTGAGCCAGTGAAGGATTATTATTATTGATACTGTTACTTCTGGTGTTGCTATTAGAATGATGGTAGCTTCTCACTGGATTGAAGTCATGGAACCACTCACAAGAGGTCAGTGGGACCTGCTCGATCTTCTCCTCAAGCAGATCAAATTTGTTGAGTATCAGAAGGAATTCCATCTGCTTAAAAGTTGGATGAGTAACAATAATCTCAAAGAGTTTCCTGCTTGCCAACATCTTGTTCATCAACACCTCATTCCCATCATCACAGAATTGATCATAGTCACTCAGGGCAACACAAAAGATGACAAGTCTAACATCTTCAAACATCTCCAGCCACTTGCAGTTTTCTCCAAGGCCTCTTGCAGGTACCCTTATTAGCTGGTACCTGCAAACGAATCAAATATTGAAAAAGATCACAACAACATGCATAGAGATTACTGGGTGAAACTAATTCTACTATAATCCCATTCAGCACTTAAACCAAGCGAATGGAAAATGCAGGGGTAGGGAGATGGATCACAATTGGAGGATCTCAGCCAATGACAGCTCCATAGACATCACTGAACCATTCATCATTAATGGTTGATAAAAAATGCTTTCTCTTACGTGTCCAGAATAATCAGGATCAGTGAGAGAATCCAATGGTAAGTTTTTTTGCCAAGGCAATATCCTAGATTAGACCAATAAAGGACTAGATTTTTTATCAGCAACACCAATGAAAATTTCATTCACTGATAGAAAAAGGTTGTTGTCTATTAACTCTGCTTTATCAGCCCATAAAGGACTAGATTTCTCTATACAGACAGGCACAACAATTAATTCTAAGAACCATGGTTACCCACCTTAGCAAGGAATCATGCTGATCAGCAGTGTCAATGGACTCAAAATGGCCTGAATGGGGGAATGAGAAATCCATGCAAGCAAGTCCATTCGATGAAGTGATTCCCTCAGCATATAGAATGTCCTCATCAGAGGGCTCATAATCCATTCTCGATATCTCAACAGCCTGCAAAGAAGTATAAACTTAGAAATCTAATGAACTTAAAAGGAATGATAGCTCCAACTTACAGTCTACAACTGATCTCTAGAAACCCTTGTTAACAATTCAAAAGGCTTCTAGTGGTTCAACTGTCATAAAATGTAGAGATCAATCTTGTAAGACTCGGCCCAGACAACCAGAATGCTCATTGGTCACTGTGTCATGGATTTACTGGTTAACCGAGGCAGTTAACCCATTCAAACCATGAATCCATTTAACACGGACCAAAAAAGGCCAGTAGGTAACTGGTTCAACCATCTAGTCTGGTTCAAGTCTTACAACACTGGTAGAGATTTGCCCCTCTGATGACTGGGAGACTGTCTGGCTACCTCTTCTGATTTTTATCAAATGCTTTGTTAGCATTACCAATTGTCTTTACCCCTTTGCTAAAGCATAAATCAGTCATTTAATAACAAGTAAATCAGCAAACATAATTACCCTATAAAATCATTGGTTTCTAACAATTTTAAGCAATATTTTGTATATCAAATATAACAGAAGCTCAAGTTTCAGTTTGAAAGGTTAAATGGTAAATTAGTTGGATCAAGTGGTCAAGGCTCTGCAAGCCCAAGAGGGAGGGGGGCTAGGTTTTAGGGATGCTAGATGTTTCAACCTAGTAAATGCTAGCAAAACATAAACCCTTTATTCTTTATGGGCTAGAGTTCTAAAAGCCAAATACTTCTATAATGGCCATTTCTTTTCTGCCCCCAACCCCAAAGTAGCATCATGGGGATGGAGAAGCATAATTCATGGGAGGGATATATTACAAAAAAGGTGGCTTTTGGAAAATTGGGTCTCAAGGCCAATATTTGGAGGGATCCATGGTTGTCTGCCTTTCCCTATGCAAGGACTGAGTTAGAAACCTAAATATTGAATTATTGAGAGGATGGCTGAGCTGAAGCTCCCAGGTCAGTAAGATGGAATTCATTCATATGTTGAATATAAAGAGAGCAAAATTTAATAAAAAAAACAGAAAAAAAATCTACATCCCAGCTTCCAATCAGATGGATCCAATTAGTTGGTCTGACAAAAAAGAATGGCTTGTTTACAGTAAGGTTAGCCCATCACTAGGCAAAGCAAATTCAGGACAGAGGAAATGGTGATTTAGTACCATCAGTTTTGGCATATGACAGCCCCATGGAAGCTAGTCTGGCAGCTAAAATTGATTCCCAAATATAGTATGGAGGGTTCTACATAACTATTAGGCAATGAATAGGAACTTAATGGCAGCAAGCAGATGCCTTATTGTCCTTTATGCTCTGAAGTTGATGAGACCATTGAGCCATGCATTGCTGTACTGTAGCTCCAGTAGACCTATTTGGTTCAGATCTGCTTATGGTTTTCATTGCTTGGACAACTCAATGTCATCTGTTGAGCAATGGCTGTTACCTTGGCTTCAAGAGTGGAATCTTAGTAAATCTGATATGATGTATAGTTATTTTGTTATAACATGGGACATGTGCTGTAACAGAAAATAAAAATAGTATAATTTTTATGGGTAATCTCTCACCCCCACATGATGTAATTTACCAATGTTAACAGGGCATGGCAAGAGAAGGAGGCAATAGCTTTGCACAGCCTCCACCAAAGTCTTGAAGATCAATCTCAAGGAGTCCACTCTTTTCAGGCGAATCATATATGAATGTTTTGACACAATCCAGGTTCATACAACTTTTGTGCAGGAAAATCAAATTGGGCATGGTGTGGTGGCGACAAACTCCAAGGGTACCCTTTTTGGATGGGCAAGCATGATTAGATGTAGCAGGGTTACCTGTTTTCTCTGAAGCATATGACATTTTCATGGGCATCAAGTTAGCAAAGAATATTGGTTGTAGGAAAGTGTGTATCCAGTGTTCGATGTTGATCAGTTTTCTGGCTTGTTTAAGGATTTGTTCATGTTTCCAAATGGGGATGGTGGTGGTTTGGTTTGATTAATGAAATTTCCTTTTTATCAAAAAAAATACTTCGGGAATAAATATAAAGCATTTTGGCATATCATTTATTATCCAAAGTTTAACAGATTCAGACTGGTTTTCAAAACATTAGTTGCAACTTGCATTCAGATCTGTTCTTGTTATCTTTCCACACTGAACAGGAACATTTGAGTCACAAACAAGATCCTTCAGAATACCACAATTTAATTTCTATGTTAGCCATGAAATTTGTCTTAGTTATGATATTTATTTCCCCCTCTAAGGCTCTAAGTAGTTCAGGAAAACACTAAGACAGCACAACAAACCTTGTATAAGGGGTCACCTATGGGTGTAAAAGGTTGGGTTCATTTGAGGGTCAGCCCAAGGCCAATCTAACCTCAGCTTTAACATGTAGCCCACCCAAGTTGCTATTTCCTCAAACCAAACACAACTCAGGCTGAATCTGTTTAGGTCAGATTTCAATTTAGATAGTGTCATAAGTTCTTTTTTTTTTATCAGCAAGAAAAAGGTTAATTATATTAATATGTGAAAAACAAGTTACAGTAGAATGGGTATCCAGTCACCCAAAATTACAGAATCCTGAAAAAACAAAGCCCAAGAACTTAATTATAATAAAGCCCAAAACTGCTGCTGGCTATAGACCCCCTGCTTAGCTTAAGTGTTGGCCATCCCATTTGTAGTCCTTGTCAGGTAACAGGGGCGTTCACGTCACTTGTCAGGCTTTCTATTTCCCTTAAAACATGTCTATAAATCCAAGCTACATAACACCTAGAAGTGATCCAAGATACAACTAGTTTTGAATCCCCTTCAACTTTCAAGTTTTTGAAGTTTGATTTCTTAGCAAATTTTAGGCCTTGTAACAGTGCCATCAGTTCATCCTTTGGTGAATCCCTACCTTTATAGGTCCTGAATACATAGCCATCACTTTGCTTAAGGAATCCCCAAGCACACTACCAATACCTGCCATTCCTAGGTTTCCCATAGAGCTCCCATCAAAGTTTAACTTTATTTTATCACTTGCTAGGGGCTTCAATTCCACCATCTTTCTTTCCTTTTCCTTGGAGGAGTGTGCCACTTCATTCCACGCCCTTACTATATCAGTCACTGTAAAGTGTTGGAAGAGATCAAGAATTTTTATCTGGTTTGCAACTTTATCTGGAAGAGGAAAATGTGCTGATTAGATAAAATTTTTAGTTCTTCCTTACTTGTTGGTTCAGGTTTTGAAGTCTTTGAGGGTTCAATACAGCATTTAGCAATGTTTGTGTTGATTAAACCCTAATAAATAAGCAAATAATAAAAAGAAATTAGTATATAAACACATAAACTGATTATTTTAGTTTAATAATGTCTATTTTATAATTATAATCTCAAAAAATAATAAATAAAAAAGTATTTTATAGTAGGAAGTAGAAAACAGTTAGGCGATTAGGCGAGGCGAGCCTCAAAGGGCACCTTGTTGCCTAGGTGTCGCCTTGACAACTATGTTTTTAAAGATGCAGTTTTTCGGCTTCTGTACAAAGGTCTCAGCACTCTACTACAAATCAATGTGATACTATTATATTTAGCCTTGATTCCAGTTCGTTTCAAGTGAAGATCATTAGGATTTAAATCATATTTGAAAAAAAAATAAAAACATAAACATGCCAAAGGGCAATGGGAATCCCAAAACCCCATGTCTCTATTGGGAATTCTTACCCTGTTATGAGCAGTATTAACAAGAAATAAGATAAAAAGCATAACCAGTCCAAATTGTATGCATCTAAAACCAGCAAAAGAAAAAAGCATGAACTTACACGTTCTAAGAAATAACTAGCAACAACAGGTAGCATTTGTAGTTCAGTTCTCCGCTTGTATGTTGCTTGAATTGCTGCATCCTTCCACAGTTCCTCAACCAATGGAGCATATTCTCGAGTGGCAGCTGGGAAAATGGCTTCCAAATTACCAGACACCATAACTTTGAGAAGCCAGTCTGAAAATGCTTTAAGCCTTGGACCAATGGAATAGATAGTTTTCTCATCATGTTCACTGGCATTTCCTATTGTTTAGCAGATTACACTTCTAAGGTTATTTTTTATTAGCAAGAGGTCAAATCAACAGGTTCATGCTAGACAAAGCTCTAAAATATATGCATAAAACCAAAGAGGAAAAATACTTCACACATCAACTAAAACGCCACCAAATCCAAAAGGTACCCCATTAAGAAAATTCTAATACATGTAGAATATGGAGCTCACGCCATCACACAGACAAATGTACCCAAACATCCAATCCAGGGCCCCCTATCAGATGTACAAATTGGATTAGTCACACCATCCCCCCCAGCTGGGAGGGAAAATGTATTTAAAAGATGATAATCATTGTATAGAAACATAATACCTTTTTCCCATTGAAATGAGGGGGAAAAGCACAAGGTCCATTCTAAAGAATTATGTAAGTAGCCAGACACCAAGAATCTAGCAATCATAGCAGTTGACAAACTAAGTAAAACCAGATGTACATAGGGTGAAACTTGGGCTGGCTCAGGTTAAGGATTTGTTAAAATTTGAATGGGCCTGGGCCTGATGCTGTGTAAATTCCTCAAATTGGGAATCCAACTTGCATGCCTATATAAAGGCCACCCCAATGCACGAGGCTCTCAACAATGTGGGGCCTCGGGGGGACAGATGTACACAGCCTTTCCCCTGCAGGTACATAGAGAGGCTGTTTCCAAGATTTGACCCCTGGTCACCCATGTAACAATGGAGCAACCCAACCATTGTGCCAAGACCCACCCTCCTTGCACCCCTATATGTACCCGCTAAAGAGAAGCTTATGTATAATCAATTAAAAAATAATTGACACATAATATGTCGATTTCATATAAAAATTTGAGTATATAGATACTAGAAGAGTTTGACAGCAACGTAAAAGTGAGTTCATGTTTCATCTGATTCTGAAACAGAAAGCTTCCTTTTTCTCATTCGTTTAGATTGGTATATGGTTTTGTAACCACAAACTCCCCCATTTTTGAGCACTCCAAAACCTCATGTTTTTCAACCAGGAAGAGTTTTCACTTATGTAAGCATTACATCATGGGTGCTCGTTGTGACACAGAATCATTTACTTATATGGTATTTTTAAGCATAAAACCATGTAAACAACACATTCTTTTGGGTTGCATGGTTAAAAATACTAGTTCATTTTGACAACAGTGGGGTCCAGTTTTTTCAACTCCACCATGGGCCTTTTCAACTACCAGCTAAACACCATCAAAGTGAACCAGAATTTGACTTTCAAAATAATAGTCAATGTACAAGTAAAATAGTTGATGTGCACCATGCATACGTGTGGGATTCAAGAAATTGAATTCTTGAGTTTTATACTTCTTCCAGAAAGTTTCTTACAAAAATATTCAGCTAAAAAGTTAAACAGATGTTTACCAATGACCTGGTGGTGATGAACAATGATCATATACATCAATGTTCTTGACCACAAAAAAAATCACAAAAGAAAATGGAAAACCAAAGATTATATAAGCTAAGTGGAGGCAAATGTAACCGACTCATACCTAAGGCACTAGATTGCTCAACAGATTGATTTTTCTTCATTTCCACCTGGCTTTCTTCCTCAAAACGCTCACGCCCCTCAAGCAGTATACCTAGATATTTATATACATTGCTCTGGATTATCAATTTGATATCCTGGCGCTCATCCTCTGAGAAGGAGACTGACTTGTACAGAAACTTGGCCTGAAATAAGTAAGTAATAGCTCAAACCTCTAATTCCTTGAGTTTACCAAAAACAAAAATGGTACACTTCAAGACCATTTTTTCTTCAACACAAAATGTACGACATGTCTATATTAACTTGAATATAAACCTTTCACAGTTTCACTATTTATTAATTCATTACAACTGTACACCAAACCATTTCAGACTTTTTTTTTTTTTTTTGGGGGGGGGGGTTGTCATAATGTCAAAACTCTGGCACAAAATCACAAAATTTGGGCAACTTCTGATAGGTAGGTCATATCCATCAGAAAATCATGTTACATTTATTCTCCAACTTTGCTTTTTTGCACGTCATAAATTGAACAGAGTATTGTTGGATGGAAGGAGTGAATTAATGCAAGTAGAAGGATCAAAAAAGAGCTAAGGGAAGACCAAGGAAAATTAGTCTTAAGTGGTAAAATTGATGTGAAGGTTTGTTATTTGACAGAAGCATGGATCTTGATAGAGCACAATAGAATATTACTTGATTGAAGGACCCTTTCCACAGAGTATAAATCCAAAATACAGAGAAACAGGCCTGGCCAAAACTAAACATCCAAGTGAAGTAGTGCTTCAAAACTCTCCGACAGGCATGGCATCCTACCAACAACATTTTTAAAATGTAGGACAAGAAACTTTTGAAAATTTAATCATGGTCATAAGTAGATTACACTCAGCTACCCCAAAACAGTATATTACAATGAAATTTTCAACTGATACAAAGAGGCAGCCCTAGGAAATTTCTTGTAACATGATTTTAAATCTACCAAGTGCTATCCTTAATAGATTGATTTCAGCATGAATGATCATGTTGTGGAGAAGTTGTTTGTGTCATTTCGTGGTCATCTACAAGCAGGTTTAAATAGGAGTTACCTGTTTAAATATGGTACTTGTCCCAGATCCACTATATCCAACTAAAAGAAGCTTTTGGAGTGTTCTCTGCTCGAGGTAATCAGGGACAGGTCTATCAACCAGAGCCTTTTCTTCTCTACAAGGATTTGTAGCTTTAGAAGGAACAGGTAGTGACAAAACGGCACACACCAGTTTTGTTGCAGACTGAGGATATAAAACCAAAATAAATGATGGAAGCAGGGAAAAGGAATAAAGAAACACGTTAAACACGCACAAACAAATTCACGTGTAAATTGCACCTTGCCCCAGATATGCCCTTTTATGTTCTTCTGTCCCTCTTCCTGGTATGATCCATCTGCATCCACCCAGAAGTTTGGGTTTCCAGCACACTGGACCCCTGCCAGCTGCAAAATTAAACAGTACAATGCTTAGTTTTACCTTTTATTCAATAAAAATACCAAATATCAGCAAAACCTAATGTCTTTATCATGTCCAAGAAGACAACCTGAAGCATCCACAGCTCTGCTTTTGTAACCTCCCGGTTATTTATAGAAACCCGTGTGTTTCCATTGCTAGCATTTGGCATAATGGCCCCCCCAACATTCAGATTGGGGCTAATAATATTGCAAGGCTTTTGTCCCTCCTGCAATTTTAGTGAAAACATCAAACTGCATAACCATGCAAAGCCATCTAGAAAGCTAAAATATAATCATAGGAATTTCATGCTCACCTTTCCCCAAAGCCCAGATACTTTATCATACCAATATTTTCCTGGTTTTAGCTTCTTGGGTGGCTTTGGACAGCTCTGCAATAAAATCAACTCCTCTGGACAGAGCTGCTGCCGATTTACATATATAAGCTCTGCTTGTAGCTGATTCACTTCACATGACTTTTCAGCCTTCATTATCTGTTGAATTTCCAACTCATTAAGCAGCCATTTAAGCACTCGAGAGCATTTACCCAAGCTCTCTCGCTTTGACTCATCAATTGGTAATCCGATGCAAGTGACACATTTCCTCCCTTCTGGCATTGACCCCATTGCTCTCAATATGCAGTTACTGCAATACTTTTTATTGCAAACAATGCATGTCTCCTTATCTGTGAACAGATTTCCTTTAGAACAGCGATAACATGCCCCTTTCTTTGGCCTTGTTTCAGGTCCTCTCTGTTCCTGGATGGCTTGGCCTTCAACAGGACTAAAGTCCCCATGAATTGTGTCACTTGACTCAGCATCAAGGAAGGTTACAATTGATGTTCTTTTGGCATGGCAAGGGGGATCATTATTGAAATCTTCGTCCTTGCAAGAAGAAACCTCGGATGATAGAAAACGAGAGCTCTGCATTGACTCGGTGGAGCCCCAATCTGGTTGATCTATATCATTTAAAAAATCTAAACTCTCTTTGCAATCATTTGAAGCCCGCTGGGCACCGGAGCTTCCCGATAATTCATGTGACTCAATGCGGCTACTAAAACACTCTAGTGTCCTTGAAATTCCTATTCCACCTGATAACTGCTGGGAACCTTCATGCTCATTAGATAAATTCAATGCGCCAGAACCACCATCAACCACGACAGATAATTCACAGGACTGGTCATGGCCATTCGAGAATGCTAATGTGCCTGAGCTACTAAATTCACCCGATAATCCACAATCAGGACCGTCTCTATCTCTCTGGTGAAAGGCGATCACGGATGTGGGAGAAACAATCTTGTCAAAACCTAGGGTTAGTTCTTTGGAGTTCTTGCTAGAAGGATCTGGGGCAATGAGTGGCTGGGCAATCGGCAAGGAGAGCTTATCGGAGAGAGAGGTAGGAGGAACCACAGTAGCGGTCGGGATCCGTTTGATGTCAATCGGCACTGCTCGAGGGAGATCGTAAGTGACAGGAGGACCGTGGTACTCCATGGCAAACGAATATTCGACCTCATCTTGACTGTGGGGGATCGAAGCCCCGACGGGCAACATGCTAGTAAGGAGACTCTTCATATCTTCGTCTTACTCCAGTTGAATTTTACTGAGAAACACACGCCCTAAGTCTCAAAATCTTATAAGAGAAAAAAAATCATTGGAGATTACTAAAGCTTTCGTTTTACAGCTCAAACCCGCATGGAAGAAGAGGAGGAGCATCCATGAGAGTTTTCCCTCTGAAGCTCCTCCATTATCTTGCTTGTGTACAAAGAAACTCAAATGTCAACCTAACCTTACAGAGGAAGCTAGCTAGATCCTCCCCTCATTTGATCAACTGAATATTCTCCATTAAATGAACCAAAAACAAAATGGTACTAAAAATAAAAGAATAACAAAATCACAGAGTAAATGCAAAAACGGACTAGTCCTCTGACTCTAACGCCTTACCAGCTGAAAAATGAAAAACCGGAGAAGAGAAAGGCGAGAGAGGAGAGGAGAGGATGAAAGAGAGGCCGAGCCGGTCTTGAAAATCCTGGGCGGTATTCTGATTTCTGAGTCCAAGTAGGGAGGAAAATGGTTGGAAATTGGAAGGGGAATGAACGAAAGAGACAAGAAGAGGGTTTTGGGATGTGGAGTACACTTTTTCAATTTGTTTAATCACCTTGTATTTTACGATGACCAAACAAGTAAGTCCGGCGTGGCGGACATGTCGGATGGAAGGGTTTTGAGTTTGTCTTTAGTTCTTTGGTACTGTCTGAGCTCGAAAGTCGGAATTCGGATGAAGTAGAAGTAACACTGTCCTCTGTCCTCTCTTCGAATCTTTTACCACAGTACTTAGTTACTTACTGCCACTACTACCGCTCCAACCCCAATTAAATGGTTTCTAACTTTCTATTTTCTCTAGTATTAAATAGGTTCCAGTAACGCAGGTTTCAATACCATAGCAGCTAGCTGTTCGCAATCCATCGCAGCCGTGCATTGGGAAGATCTCCCATTTTATTCTCATTGGTTAATCAAAACTGAATCATTACTTTCAATTTTTCGAAAATGTCAAATTAAAACCAAAATGATCAATTCAGTTAACTGGAATTTTTGATTATTCAGTTTTTTATTATTTTTGGTTAATCACCCATAACTTTTCCCCTTTTATCTTTTCTTTTTTCCCAAGTGCTGACTGCGGGACTTCATTCCGCGTCAATGCTGGAACAATCCAGTTAACACACCAAGGAGGCAGCCCTCCATTGGTTTAGTTCAGTTTTTGATGATCACCTCAATAGTAAATCCGGAATTCTGGATTATGCATAAATGCTTGTTACTTATAGAACATGCCTCACACCAACCTCATAAAGTCATAAGCTATCACAATCATGTATAGAAGAAGCAGTGTGAGATTGGTGTGAGGTGTGTTGAGGACCAAATCCAAATTATTACTACCATGTGCCATCAAATGGCAAATAACAATTTCACCATAGACAAGACAAACAATCCATTTAGTCCATTGCTTTTCTTTCTATATATATACATATACTAGTAATTATGCGTATGCGTTGCACTTATGAATTAGATATCATATTTAGTATATAAATTGAAAATTAAAAAATGTAATAATATGATTAAAAATAAACTTAAATATTTATATTAAATGTGTACCTGTAGAAATTTTAAATTATAATAACAATTATTATTATTATTATTATTATTATTATTATTATTATTATTATTATTATTACAACAACTACTACTACTATTATTATTAAATTTTGTATTCCATTTTTATCTTAAATGAAATTTTTTTATTTTAATAATTATTTTTATTTAATACGATGATTATATAACATTATAAATGTTCCAAAATGTCTCTAACAAAAACTCTATACTTTTTATCTTTTGTGTCCTATCTTTTTTAAAATATTTATTATTCAATTATGACATCATGAGTTTCTTTTAAAAGTTAGATCATTGACCCACCATTTAAATAAGAAAATAGCTTTGCTTTTGGATTAATTTTAAATTATATATTTCATCCACATTATATACATATTTTTTACTTATCACACTTCATTTTTGTTTGACATAATTAATATATAATTTTTTATATTTTCTTTTGATTACTTGTACTTTTTATTATTTTTTAAATATTTATTATTTAACTATTATATCATCGATTAATCCATTTGACCCAGACCATTAACACATGATCCAAAAAAGAAAAGTATTTTGATTTCTAGGTTGACATTAAATTTTGTATTACAGTTTTGTTATTGATAAAATTTTATCTTATGTATAATATTTATTTTTGTTCAATATAATGAATGTATAATATTATATATGTATCCAATATTTTATTATTCATAAATATATAACATTATATCTTATGTATAACATTTATTTTTGTGATTCTTTGTATTTTTTATTTTTAAAAAAATTATTATTTGACTATGACATCATTTCATTTTTAGGTTAATTTTAATTTTGGCTTTCCAATTTCATCATTTACAAAAATACTTCTTACATTTCATACATATTTTTGTTCAGTATAATGAATATACAATATTAATGACACGCCCAGTTCTTTTTAATTTTTTGTATTATATATTTATTTATTTTAGTTTTTTTTATTTAATTATATCATTATTTATTAATGGATTTGACTCCAAATGGTTGAATTGCTTACCCACCACCAAGAGGGAAGAAAACAATTTTGTTTTCAAATTATTTTTTAAAATATTTATTTTTATATTATTAAAACTAATATTGTGGATTTAATTAGTACAATTTAATAATGAGAAAAATATAGGATTTAATAAGAGAATATATCTTAGAATGAGATTTAATGATAGATAATAGGAAAATAGTTTTACTTCCAATTAGTTTTAAATTTTACATTTCATTTCCATCATTAATAAAAACATTTTTTATTTATCATTAATGTTTTTCAACTTGTTGTTGACCTAGTCGATTGAATCGTTTGAATCATCACTCGGCCTTGATTCTAGGTTTGGTTCTATTGAAACTCCCTATTTTGGTTAAAACCCATCTAACTTGGACAATTCATTGACCTGTTTGACCCAGTAACCAAGTCTCAGGTTACGCACTTAATTATGTGCAAACTTTTGGAAGCCATAACTTTGTACTCCGATGTTTTATTGGGGTTATCTTTTTTTTTTTTTAGTAACTTTTCAAGATCAATACGTTCCAAGGGCATTATGCGCCTTGCCTTGCTATTTTTGTGAAAAAAAAAACTTTTTTTGGCCCAAAATTGCAATTTTTATTTTTTTATAAATAAAAATTTAAAACGGATTTTAAAAACATAAATAAAATGTAACATAATACATATATTATATGTAATATATGTAAAACATAACTATGATATATGTAAAACATAATTATACTATTTATTGGTAAAATATGTATTTTTACACAAAGTGTTGATGTAGAGTGGTTTAACTCGTCTGACCTTGACAGTCAAACTAGTGACCCGTGACCCGAAGGCAAAAGCGAGTTGGCCTCCGGGTCAATTTATAAAACATTGTTTATCATACTTATTATTGTTTAATATGTCAAATATATGATGTTAAAAACGTTTCCATTTTTTTAATTTCTATATTTTTTTATTTTATACATTTTTTAATTTTATTATTTGATTGTGGCAACATGGATTGGCCCATCTGACCCAAATGGCTTAATTTCTTACCACCACCTATATGGAAATACTATTTTTCTAGGCAGATTTTAAAATTACAAGTTTTTATTTAATTGAAATTATTAATTTATTATGTATGTATTTAATTATAGAATTTAATGATGAGAAGAAACAAAAAAGACTTAAATATATGACTAAATGAAGATGAATGCAAATTAATACCTTCAATGTTGGATTTAATGAGAGATAAATGAATACATTGAATATCTTAATTATTTACAACTCATTTAATATCAATAAATAATTACCCTATTTGCCCTCATTTTCTATCAATAAATTTAAATATAGAGGGGTCAATTTTGTCATCACAAAATTACAAAAATATTCATGAGGCTATTGTACTTTTTAAAGTAGTAACTCTCTCTCTCTCTCTCTCTCTCTCTCTCTCATATATATATATATATAGAACACATAGTTAGAGAATTATGTGTATATAGATTTTATATACAACTAGTGAGGACCTATGATGCACGAGCTTTATGAAGCAAATGTGAAACAATAGAAACACATAAGAGTAGCCATATTTGTATGTTTTTCGTCGTAACATTATAAAGTGATACCATCATAGTGAAGGATTATAGTGTTTAACTTTCTCCACAATTTATGATAACATTGAAATTAATTTTCCAAAACCTATGAAATTAATTTTAATTTTCATAAGTTATTGAAACTATGAATATATATTTACTAAGTCAAACAATTAATTGATATTTAATGAAATTAATTTTTAAAGTTACTGAAATTGAAATTAATTTTCAAAAAATTATTGATTTGAACAATTAGTGAGAATATGAATAAGTAATTATTACTAAAAATATAAATTAATTGATATTTAATGAATTTTCTATAATTAGTAAAAGTGGAATTAATATTTTCAAATATATAAATGAAAAAAAGTGACACCTTAAAATCTATAAAACAAAATCCTCACTTAAATGAATGAATTTAAGATATTCAAAATGTGTTAATTGAAATGATGCAGGTCAGGTCCGGTTAAAAAATTATAGGTTTTTGAGTCGGGTTGGGTTAAAAACGTTAGAGGATTGGGTTAGGGTAGAGACAACTCATGTAGACCCGACCCATACACATCCCTGCCTAGGAGTGAGCATGGACCGGTTCTACTCGACTCCATAAGAGAACCTAGAACCTATCCTATAGGGAACGGTTCCAAATTTTTAGAATCGGAACATACCCTGTAAAAATTGGTTCTAGGATCGTTTCTGATCTTTGTGGTCCCGAAGCAACAATGATTTATCCCCATAGAGAAGCAAAACAGAAGCCTGGGCGAAAGTACCACTCCAAAGTCGATATGTAAGAATTCTATATAACGTCAATACCTCTACCACAGAATGAATATTTTGTTAGAATAATAAAAACAAAAATACAAACCAAACATTAAAGTTATGTCCCTGTCTTGCCGAAAACAAATAATGAAAAAGAAATACATTTCACAGGCAGTTTATGTGGCAAACAATATTGTTCTCGTGGAGATTTAAAAACTCGTTTTTCGTTCATCCAATACATCATATTTTAATTTTTATTTATATAAAGAAAAAAAAAATACATTACATATGATATATCCATCTTTGTCTTCTTAAAAGTTAAAACCCAAAACCCTCTTTCTCATGTTACAGTCGTGAAGATATATAAGCTTAAATATGACCCCAAGTAAGTTATCCCAAAAACCAAAAATAACAAAAACACGACCCCAAGTAAACAAATTGAGGCCTCTCCCATTCCCAGTCTCTTGTGACGAGCCCGGCTATATATTTACAATCATAAATCTTAGCCACCCACCCATTGCACAAATCGCCTTAAGCCACGTGTCACCCATACCGCATTGTTTCTGGTTACAAAACGTGTCCATCACCGAGTATTGACACGTTGAAACGAGATATACGGTCGATTTGGCTTCCGACTTTACCTGCCTTTAATTTGATTAGAAGCGCGTCGACGGGAAGCACTCCGGAAAGATAAACCCTTCCGGCAGGTTTAGTTGTTGCATGGCGGCCAGCTGTTGTAAATCCGGAGATTGCTCGTACAGCCTCCAAACCTTCACCGATTTGTCAAGGCTGCCGCTGTAGAGGATCCACCGTGGATCATCAGGTGTTGATTCAGGATCGTGTTCCACAGCTAGGCACTTAACGGGGCCATTGTGTCCCGTTAGCACCGAAAGGCACGTGTGAAATCCACCCTCCCTCCTCCACACGCATATCGTCTTGTCTGCGGATCCGCTAATGAGGAGGCTCCCGGCCGCCGTTAGACAGAGGACGGCCATCTTATGGCCCTTCAGGACCCCACCGTGAGAGAGATTTTTCTCACGCTCCCAGAAGTTCACAAGTCCATCCGACGAACCACAATAAACGACGGAAGTCACTGTGCTAACGGCTAACGCCGTTACTGCGCATTCTTGTTTCAGCAACGTCTTATCAAGGGCGTGTTTCGTCCCTTTTCCGTGTAACTGCCTCCGCCAAGCTTTGACGGTGCCGTCAGCAGACCCCGTGAAGACTAAACCCTCAAAGCCAGCAACGACCGAGTTAACCGCGTCGTCGTGAGCGTTGATGGACTCCAAGCATTTGGAGTCCGATATCCTCCACACTTTGAAGGTTTTATCCCAAGATGCCGAGTACATAAGTTCTTGATCTTCATTCATGCTCAGACAGGAAATCGCGTCGAAATGCTTGATCCAGAGCCCGTTCTTATGACGTTTGACCTCAACATAATTGTTGGGATTCATGGAGCTCTTGATGAAGTCCTTGAGAGTCGGCAGAGATCCAACGCGCTTATGAACACTGGGATTCTTGGCGGAGACCTTCCACACTCGAATCTTGCCGTCCTGATGACCGGTGAAAATCTTCTGCCCGGAGATAACAATTGCTTTAACTAATCCACTGTTAGATTTAAACCCAGAGTATTCCTTCTGGTTCTTCCAGACGCGGATGTTCTTGCTATCTGATCCAGTGTACAACAAGTCACCGGTAGCGGCCAGGGAGTAAATGTGGCCTTCTTCGCGGACGAGGGATCCGATCAACCCGTTGGTAGGGAATTTCTCATCGAAGGGAGTGAGAGGAGAGGTTCTTGACCATGGAGACTTGGCATAAGGAGAAGTGCTCTGATTATTCCATGGAGACGTGTTGTAGGGAGAGCCTTCTAAACTCATTTGGTTATCGCAGTAACCGGGGCTTGCTGCAGAGGAGCTGCTGTTGTGTGACGAGAAATCCTCTTCGTTGGATGTGGTGGGCATGCTTGGATTAGTTTGTAAGATATTGCCGAATTTAGATCGTTGCAGACTGTTCGATTCAACGAGCACGGGGCCTCCGTTCTCGTATCTCATTCTGCTTATTCAACCCCACTCATTGGGAAGAGAAATTGATAATCAAGGCCAATTGGAGGGGTGAGACTCAATAAACAATGAAAAGGGAAGAAGAAGAAGAAGAAAATCGACCGTGAAGAAAGCCGAAAGCTTCGAAAAAAAGAGGAGGGAGGTGAGAAATCGAATAGAAGGCGCGAGCGAGAGAGGACCGTGAGGAGAATAGTAGTAGCAGGAGAAAAGTGAATAATAGAAATAGAAGAACTAAAGGCGGGAGGAGGGTGAACGCGTATATATAAACGTCAGAGACGAAAGAGCAGCAGATAGCTGGAAGGATCTGATTGAGACACGTGTAAGGAAGAAACGTGATCTTTACGATTGGAGAGATCTCCCCGGCCCGGTAAACCATCTACGCCGGTGATAGATAGGTAGTAGTAAGGATGGTTGTTATTTTTGGATAGGGAGCCGTTAGGATTGTAGGGTAGCTACTTTACGCTTCACACGGCCATTTCTAGAAGCAAACGTGGAACTTGGAATGTCTAATTCTCACACATGAGATATCCCAATACGGCAATACAGAACCAGCCCTTTGACCTTCCAATTCCATTTTCTTAACAGGTTACAGGTGTGAACTTGACCTTTGACCCAATCTAATGATTTCTGTGTCCTCTCAAATTATCATCTAATATGGTCGGAGCTAGAGGGTATTTATGTAAAGATCTTAGGTTATGTACTTATGTAGACCCTCCCCGGAAGTTAAAAGATTAAATTTGTTGGGAAGCTAATGACTGATATGTCCCTCTTCAGAATATATTATATATAATACACCACTGTTCAATGGATTAGTGGATTTAACAATAATTAATGTCTGAGCGACGACCCATTATTTTTTTTTCTTTTTTTTTTTGTGTGGCCAATAAAAATCTAATAACGAATGACCGTAAATTAATTGTAATGGCCGGCCATTGCCCCAAATCGTTTTCGTTATGTAGACTGTCAAGACCTGGTTGATAAATTGGATTGATTTTAGAACCCTATAATATAATATGTTGCAACCATTGACGCCCTAATCACCACGGCAGTCAAGCTTCAAGCTTCACCTCAGAAATTACTTGGTGTCACTGCCCAATGCGTTAATAACTTATTTCAGTCCAGAGACTGGTAGCTCTTCCGTTCAGTCAGTGGCCGAGGCTTTAGATTAGGCCATCCCATGGAGCTCTGGGGACTGGGGGCAGGCATTAATGTGCAAGACCACGACAGTGAAAGGCGACGTTCTAACTCTCAAGCGGGATATCTCCAATTCCGATTCATGGACTGTGGATGAGAGTTCGGCCTCCTCACCTATATACAAACATTTAAGGTTAAAAGTATAGATAAGATACGCATACTAGCAGTATCATATCCGTATTTAGAAACGGTTACAATTTTATTTTTTTTAGTTTTTTTTTTTTTTTGGTTTTTTAGAAAATTAAAAATATATTTTTTATTATTAAAAAAAGTTAGGATTCCGAAACTCGTGCGTAACAAGTATTTACTAGGTAGCTTAGAGAAAGTTGAACTGGCCGGGTCTATTCCATTTCAGTTCAGGTGCCTTTCTTTGTGGGAAGGTAGTCTGGACTAGTTTGTCCATATTTAAAAGATTAGAATGGCAAACGGGTAAATCGTCAAGGGCGGAGGTAGTCCCCCCCCCTGGCTTCAAAATCTCGACATATATGATTTCTCCACTCCGCTATCGTTGTTTCCCACTTTCCCCTCATGACCTCATCCATGTATATTTGCACTCCTTCCTAATGCATGTTAGATCTGTATGTCTATGTTTGTTTGCGGTGTAATTAAATACTCCGGGCATTTGTCAATCGATGTAAAATTGTACTCATGATAAGGTTTAGCATCGAAAATTAATGAAAATATAACATGATAAAATTGTTATAAATATTTACATTGATAATTACACTTTTTACTTTATAACATTTCACAATTTTCAACTAATGTTGAATTCCATCAATATATTTTTACATCGATAAATATTTACATTATATTCAAATGTTATAGATTGATAACTCTTAAGAGAGGAGAGAGAGAATTGGCTATCATAGAGTAGCTCGTAGAGCTCATAGAAGGGTAGTGTGAGGGGAGAAGGGTTTATGAAAAGATGTTGGTGGTGGGAGGATTTGGGAGAGCATCTTTTGGGGAAGGAGGGAACCCTGTTAATTATCCTCTCTATTGTTTATATCTTCTGTTTGTTAAATTCTAAAATCTTCTATGAAGAGTGTTAGCCATTATACACTCTTACTCGGCTTCGATTTGCATGAACCAAACCAGGTCAATGGTAGTTAATTTGGAACTCAATCTCCTGGCATCCGTTAAGCGCCGCTTTTCAAAAGAGCTTATCCTAAGGAAGAAAAGGAAGTTTAAGAGGCATACATTATTTAGTAAAATTAAAAGGTATTTAATTTAGGGTATTCCAAGTTGTTCAGCAGCAAAGGCTATTAGCCTATTACGGTATTACCTAATTTTCAAGACGAATATAAGGACCATGGCTACACCGAAAACGCTGCTTTTAGGTTCACACACAATCACACCCTAGCGCGCCCAGTCCAATATGTCAATGGTCTAATTACTTACAATTTTTAAAAGTTCGGCTGGTAGAAAGCCCACGGCCCACCCCCCACCTACAATGAAGAAATCAGTGGCATAGCGATTTTCCGGACGCATCCGGCCAGCCGCCACGTAACAAGACCTTAGTTGGGTGATTTCCTCTTCCGATACGTAGCCACAAGAAGATAGGACCACCACTAAAATGCTGCCATGTGTCAAATTCCTACATGGGCTTACGTTACCGCGACACCTTTGATAGTTTAACGTCATCACCTGAGACTTAAAAGTGAACGTGTTAGCCTGTTAGGTACTTGCTAAACGACGATTTACGTAATAAAAGCGCTTACCTGAGTTGAACAATTGAATTAGTGTTAGTTTGGTTTGAAATGTTTACAGCACAAAAGACACTTGGCAGCTTATGTGGGACAAGGAGCACCCCATAACCCTTATCCACCCGAATATTATTTGAAATTACTGTAATCGGGTTTCATATTCATTCATGTAAAATATATTGGTTATATTTTTATGTTATTCATTAAACCCGGTAGTAATAGCAATTATTAGTAGTGCTGCTATTTTTATCGTTTTATTTAGGATAAATTGTAGACTTTTATCTTGTATTTTGGGTCTACTCTCACTTTGGTATTTAAATTTCAAAAAGTATTAATCAATATATCAACTCCTCAAAACATCACAATTTAGTTCAGAATTGTTAACCGTCGTTAAGTGGTATGTAAAAGGACAAGATGTTTTTGCATGTCATCTAAATTTTTTTATTAATTGTCTAAATAATCAAATTTCTTTGGATTGGTAGTGGCTTTAGGGTTGTTCACCATTGCTTTGGTTTATGATTTTTAAGAAAGAAGATGACGAATAATGTCTTATTTTGAAGAATAATTTTGATATTTTCAAAAATTTTAAATCATACATGTCATCATATAATATAGATAACCGACAAACTATTGACAGAGATTAAATTGGGACGTTTTGGAAATTTAGGTATTAGATTAACATGTTTTGAAATTCGGATACCAAAATTAAAATATACGCAAAATACAAGATACTAATTTATAATTTACACTTACAAGTTCTTACTTAAGCATTGCATCTTTAGAACATCATGCTTATCCACCTTTTATTCCCGGTTGAAAATGATCACTTAAGCTAATTCTCTTTAAATGCCACTCAATTTTATTTCTTGCTCCAACTTTAAGTGTGTTGGGACGTTTATTGTGTTTGATTTGACAAATAATAAGAGACAAATTCAAAGTTGAGGGAAGGTTGTTGTCAAACCCAACATAGCCTCAGGTCTAATCAGCAAGGGTTCTTTAGGCTCCATTTTTTTAACCAGAAATGTGGTCTAAGTTAAAATATTTCAATCATAGGTTCCCACTTCCTCTTTTGCAATAAAAAAACTCATTTGTTTTCTGTTCCTTTACATGGAAACAAATGCAACTTTATTAGTCTTAAACTCAAACAGAATTTAACGTATATAGGTTGCAAAAGATGTTATTAACTTATTGGATTAGATGTAAAACCCTTTTGATGTCTGGGTCACGGGTTGAATAGTTCAACCATTTGTCTTGTCTTCTGTTCTCTCTCATGAATCATGTTCTTCGTGCGTTCCTTTTCCTTTTAATTTTTAATAAAATCTCACCATTTCAAAATAAACTTGAAATAATGAGTATCATATATTGGTTATAAAATTATTAATTTGGCTAAATTATTTCTAAGAACTGAGCAACAAAAAAAAAAAAAAACTCTTAGGATGTGTTTGGTTGCAGCTCCAATTTATTTATAATAGTACAAAATGCATGAGAGTGCAAATATAAAAAAATGCAAATTCTTGTTTAATTTTGTTTTGGATTTTACTGTATTCTAATTCATGTCTTAATTTACTTTGTTTATACTACAATCAAACAAAATAAAACTAAAATTTGAAACAAAAATAGGCCAGAATTTATGCTCAAATCATTTGCATTGCCATGATTTTTCATCAATACAAATTTATTCGCATTACAACCAAACACAGCCTTAATGGCAAAAGTTGGTTTGGATGTTGTATGTTTATTGAACAGTTATAGGTTCAACTCTTATAGAAAATATATTTTTAAGCCATTTCATTCATGATATATAATATAAAGCATTTTTTGGTTTATTTTATTAAATAATATACAATATTTTGATGATTTTAGTTTAATATTAATGATAATCAACATCCAAAATTTAAATTTGATACATAAAATTCAATTCAAATCCAAGCATTAGTGGATCAAATTAGATTAGTCGTATCTGATTTGATCATATCTCTTTACAGGTTGCAGTCTTACGACCAACCTCCACTGTAGATCCATTAATGTGTCTATGTGTCTAACTGTCGAACCTCCCCAGTCCTTTAGCTCTTATCTTGTTGCTTTGATTTCTCATGTATTGTTGACTTCGGAGCACAAGTTGGCTATAAAGGCAGACAATTGGATCTTTGAAGTTGATGGGGGGGGGGGGGNGGGGGGGGGGTTACGAGTCTCAGAACGCTGATGCAAAGGAGTCTGGTCGTATTCATAAGCTGAAAAGACCACAAATAAATTCAAGCCCTTGGAAGGTCAGAAAGGAGAAATTACCCCATGGCCCAGGCCTCAAAGTTCTTATCTGATATTTAGTTATAGGAAAAGGAATAATTTTATAAATATGTGACTAAACAAAACATGTTATAATAACGGGAAATTAAGGGCTAGTATGTTTGTTTACAGAGTCAGTAGAAACAAAATATCCCTTGGCCTACTCTTCTCGTCATGTGTGAATGGTCATCACTAGGGTCCTTAAGGTTGAATATTGTCCGTGACAGTTCAGATAGTAGTTAAAATGGGTTTGCGTCTTTGTCCATGTCGCTTTCTTTTATTTCCACATATTAGTTGTCTATTTGAAAAAGGGAAATAATCTGTTATGATGTCTTTCGAGTTTAAAGTTTCATTTACATTGCTAATAGAATTTTTCAAATCAAACCAATTACAATTTGATACGATTGTTAATACAGTTTGAGCCATTCTATTTGGCTTAATCTAATTAGAAAGCCCAAACAATATATAGACATGCATAAATATTATTTTACAGTTTGATTTGGCTTCTAAAATGTAGGAAATTGAACCAAACTGCAAGTTTTGGTTTGGTTTGATTCAATTTGGTGGTTTGGAGCATATATGAATACCTCTTAAT